TAGAAAAAAGCTTAAGTTAGCACACTTGGATAAGGAGATTAATAATACTAAGGAAGCACTTGCCCCTTTTATGGATAAAGAGGAATATATATTAGAATCAGATAAGTTAAAGTCCCTTGTGGAAAAAACTGAGAAAGAACAGAAAAATAAAAAAAGAAAGAAATATATAAGGGATTGCAATGACTACAAAGACAAATGCGTCTTTAAGTGGGAGGCCAAAAAGTATGACTTTATTACTCCAAATAAGATGGACACTGCCCCCACACATCCACCAGTGCGGAATACCAACAATAGGAATGTGCTAATAAAAAACAATCAGGCACCGCACACGCCCCTTTATAAGTCTAGGAGGGTTTCTTATACCACCCCCAGGCGTGAATCTGGTATTCCTCTCTATAATAGATATGAAGTACCAGACCGGCATGGTAACTCACATGGTGATAAAAAGAACCAACACTCATCATCCTCACACAGACCTCCCCAGAAGAATGAAACATCGCATAAACCCGGACAAACCAACCCTATAACCCTAACTATAAACGCAGGTCACCAACTAAGAACCAGGGTTGGAGGAATTATGATGAGTATGGTTTATTTTCCTGAGAGACACCAAAAGTATCACCCTTATGACACTCAATATTATCGACAAACACCCCCTAGAGATAGATATTGGAATGACACCCAATATCATGATAACAGAAATATGCAATATTCCAATTATGATAATCGCAATGCTCCCTCCAATCATCATTATTATTCACCCAGACCCCAACAACAACATACACCAAATCCTTTTTTAGGGAGAGGTACAGGCAAAAAAAGAAACCTAAGGCAAGAGGAAGACGAGCAGGAAAACGTGTCAATAGACAAAAAGAGAAGAGTATGAATAATGATGGCATCTTTAATATTAGTAGTTCCACTCTAACAGACAAGGAACTTAATCTATTAAACAAAGGTTTAAAATATGCTCCACCATCCAAGTTGAATAAATTCAATACATACATTGACATCCATAGGTTTACGAGAGGAAATTGTCCCTTAAGAGACATTTCCTCAAGAATCCCTTGAATCGAGTTAGTACTATTTCGAATGCTAATATATGTAAGGCCTCTAACTTGAGGAATGCATCCCTTTTTAATCCCCCTGCTCATTCACATGTGAATATTTTTAAAAGTATGGTTCTTAAGGACCTGGAGAATTTAAGGGTTAAGACCAAACGCCACCATTTTAACAATAAGAAACAAATAGACATAATGGTTAAAAGTCTACTAGAAGAAAAGGATCTGGTAATACGGCCAGCGGATAAGGGGGGAGGTGTAGTAGTGATGGATAAAAGCTTCTACCTCCTACAGGTAGGGAATATCGTTAAGGACACGAATACCTATAAAGAGTTACCAAATAACCCCCTTATTACGTACAAAAAACTTTTAAAGGTGATATTGAAAAGAGGTTTTGAACAGGGGATTATTAATGGTAAAGAAAAGGACTACCTATGTCCCGCTGCCCCCCCGATTACCGGTCATATACGGTTTACCAAAGGTTTCACAAAGATCCTGTGAATCCCCCTGGCCGCCCCATCATTAGTGGAATCGGCTCTTTGTGCTCCCGCGTGGGTGAATTTATTGACTTTTTTTTCTCCAACCCTTGGTCTGCACTACCCCTGCTTTCCTCAAAGACACAAAACAGGTGTTGGCAGACATCAGAGAGGTCACTTTGAAGCAACCCACCTTCCTTGTTACCGCTGATGTCGCGGCTTTGTACAGCAACATTAACCATGATGATGGACTAGCCGCTGCTGAATATTATCTTAATACAGCTAACGATATACCAACCTTACAAAAGGCATTTCTGCTAGAACTTCTTGACTACACCATGAACCACAACTACTTTTGGTTTAGTAACAAATTTTACTTACAAATCACTGGAGTTGCCATGGGCGCGAAGTTTGCCCCGAGTCTTGCCAATTTATTTATGGCAAGATGGGAGGAGGATCTCATCTATTCCAGAGAGTGGCCACAATTATTGTTTTACCGTCGGTACATCGACGATATTTTACTCCTATGGGAAGGGGATGAATTTACCTTGAACAACTTCTTTACTACATTGAATCTCAATGATATGAATATTAAACTTACCTTTCAATATAGTAATCAGGAAATCAATTTTCTTGACCTGACATACATTGAGGGCCCGAAAATTTTGTCCAGGAGTTATTTTAAATCATCAGACAGGAATAGCTTTATCCCTAAAGATGTTGTCATCATCCGAGATGGTTGAGCAACATACCAAGGGGACAGTTTCTTCGGATCTACAGAAATTGTGACAAAAAAGAGGACTATGTCCTCCAATCTGAGATCCTTAAACGGAGATTCGTTGAAAAAGGCTATAACGCCAATATGCTCGAGGTTGAGAGGGACAAGGTGGGGGGCAATGAATAGAGATAGTCTTATCATTACTAAGCAAAAGACTAACACTTGAGAGATACTGCCCTTTTATCACTGACTTTTCTACTCAATTTAGGGATGTAGCTAGCATTATCAGAAAGAACTGGAGAATTCTTAAAGATGATCCGGTGCTAGGAAGTCATTTACCGGAAGCCCACGAAATCACTTACCGTAGGGCACCACCTCTGAGAAACACCTTGGCCCCCAACATTGTTAACCCACCAAAACAACTTTCCTTTTTCTTCAACCGGAAAGGGTTCTTCCCCTGTAATATAAATGCATGCTATGCACTAATAATGGAATTCATAAATAATCCCAGTAACCACATTTAACTCCAACACAACTGGTAAAACATATGAAATTCAATCTACCATCACGTGCAATAGTACCCATGTTGTATACCTATTGGAGTGTACATGCGGTAAGCAATACGTGGGACGGACTATTAGGAGACTTCGTGACAGATTGAGGGAGCACCTTGAGAATATTAACAAGGGGTTCAAGGAACATTCACTTTCCTTGCATTTCCGCCAAGCGCATAATAAGAACGCACATGGCTTGAGATTTATAGGAATTGACACAATACATAAACACTGGAGAGGAGTACACAAGTTAAGAGCAGTTTCAAAAACTTGAAACTAAATGGATTTTTTTTATTAAGAACACTTGCCCCACATGGGTTTAAATATTGATGTGGACATAAATTGTTTCTTGGATACCAGGTAATTCCTTTTTGGGTTGTCCTTGCTTCATCTCAAAACAAATATCCAGTATGTACATATTATCGACATTGATGTATCTTTAGGGTTTTCCGGGGAAACTATGGTTTTATAACATCATTATCTTACCTCGAGGGGCTTCTCCCTCCCCCCCCCCCCCCTCTTCCACCAATCAGCTGGATGATGGGCTTATTCTTCCTTTTCTGTTCAATACGCACTATTCGCACTGGTGTCATCCAAATTATCCTAATTATCCATTTTACCACTGGTACACGAATTTTGACGTGGATATGTCCCACAAGGTTAGGGATTAACGCCCCCAGTGATCCATATGGGGTTGCTTTTGTTTTAATCATAGTTTCCTAGGGAATATCCTAGGGGCTATTTTGATATTGTGGTTTTATTTTTCATTTCATTTTTAATTTTCATTATGTTTCATGACCATTTATATTATGTCTATGATCATCAGTAATAATTAGATCATATGATTATCATTATCTATATGACTGTTCGCTTATTATATATTTTTTATATTTTGCGCATTGCATTGGCTGTGTGTAATCGTGTTTTTAATTATTGTCGATTTTTTAACTTTCCTTTTATGGAATTTCTGGTGTTGTGTGTAACTTTTAATAATCTATAATGATGGCCCCTGGCATCTTTGCATGAATATAGGGGGCTGGTACTTGTAGTTCTACCACACCCAATATTCAGTATTTGCAACCAGCACTTGGCATGGTTTATCCCTTTGCTTGATATAGTTATCTCCTCCTCACTATCCCCAATTGATTGTTATTATGCTGAGATCTCCTGGCATTGTCATTTGTGCTAGGTGTGTTCTCTCCCATCACAACCCCTTCTTTTATCTGGGCTGTGGATCCCTTTCTCTGGCTCTGCAGTCTTGGTCTTCTATAAAATGGCCGCCGGATACGATCTGCGCATGCGCGGGTTATCCGCGATGACGCGGGAGGCTTGCATTGCGCATGCGCGGGCGTCTTAGCCTCGCGCATGCGCAGTAGCGCTAAAATGACGCGGAAAAATGCGTCTTTTCACAATTAAGAGGTCCTCTATATATAAGGGACCATGGTTGAGAGGCACATTCCCTTTGATAATGTGCCATTGCCACGAAACGCGTTAGAGATAAGGACACCTCTCACACCATTTATTATCCACTGGTTTCATGCATCTGACTGTCGGCCATCTTTTTGGATTCTATGCATCAGCTTTTTGGACATTACCATGTAAGTGTATTACTTACTTTTTTACCTTTGAATAAAATACTACACTATCAAGATTTCTTTCTTTTGGGTCTTATTGCTGAGCCCCTGAGATGATCTCCTGATAAGAAAGTACACCAATCCTGGCGATAGAGGATACAAAGTGATTTCGTGTTACTGTAAAGAGGCGCACCCCCCCTGGTGGTAGGAGACGGCAGAGTGGTGCACTGGTGTCCTTGAGGGCTTCACGCTGAGGACCATCTGGCTGTGACCAGGAGTAGGTCATTATACTCCAATGCGCATGTACTTGCGCTATCTGGTTAGTGCATTATACAGTCATTCCCCTATCACGGAAGTCACGGATTTCTTTGGATACATCACAGAACTTATGATTTTAGCATCACCATCACTATATGCACCTTGATTAGACGGATAGATCTTCATTACTCATCTGATTATTGTTTTAACAATTTAAGAATGTGGAATCTGGTGCATGTTGAAATATGAACATTTAAATCTGTTATTCATAGTATTTAGATATAATTGTGATGTTAATATGATACACTGGTATTATATATTGAGCATTTACAAGGCTATAGCTTTTTGTAGCAGACAATTACCTTTCCAGTTGCACCATGGGAGACGTACTGGGCCCCTTCTCGTTTGGCTATTTCCACCTGTTTTCGGGCAATACACGGACGAGCCAGTGAGGTGCCCAGAAGGTAGCGGTCTTCATAGATGGCATTGGCTTGGACCGCTGGCCAGATGAATTCTTCCACAAACTCTTTTCGTACATCTTCTATGTACACCTGGGGGTGGAGGTAAGGGGAGTAGGACATCAGTGGAATTTCCTTCAAGATGATATATAGTAGGGGAGGACAATTCTATAAAGAGCATTTACGACCCATCTGGACTTGAGAGCTTTTTGGGTTCCAGAATTTTCCACCAAGCCCAATATTCTTTGTGTTATTACTACCGCAAGAGTCTGTCTACCCATGCTTCTCCCATCTGTCAACTCCACATTTCCCATATGAAATACAGTGTCAGCTGTTATACTAAACTACACATGCCCAGGACTTTTTCTTCTCAGACAATAGGTTCAGGAACTCCCCCTTTCCAAGTCACCCTATGTCTGCACAACCGACTCATCTCTGAGCACTGTTCCTTGGTTCCACTCCTTCCCGGTACTGCCCTTTTACAGAATACAGAACCAAGTATCATTTTGTGGTGCTACATAATTTGTTAATAACAAGAAAAGCAATAAAATAGATCCCCTGCAGCCAGAAACAATAGACCCCCCCAGCAACAAGACATCCCCCCAGCAACAAGACATCCCCCCAGCAACAAGACATCCCCCCAGCAGTCAGCAATCTTAGACCCTTCTCAACAGTAGATCAATCCTATCAACAACTGACCCCCAGCAACAATAGATCCCCCACCAGCATCACTGGACCTCCCCAGGACAATAGACCCCCCGAAAAAATAGATCCCCCCTCCCCAGCAACAACAGATCCCCAGCAGCCAGCATCAATAGACCCTTCAGCACACCCCAGCATCCCATGCTATTACATACATTGTATGTACAGTGCAGTAGGTGCTGGAACTGCATTCCCTCTGAACGAAATACCTGCGTGTGCCCAATCAGAGCCAATAAGGAGTGCACACAGCACGAACTGAAAGTTCTACAAGCTTTCAGAATGTCACTGAGCATGCTCTGTACAAGCAAGCTGGCTTCTTATATGCTCTTGAATGGTTATATGTGCTTAGACTAGGGCAACATGTCAACAATTCAGTAAGATAATGCAAGTGGAACTATATGGCGGTAATACAAAGGGGCTTATTCAGTAAAAGAGCAAAAGCAGTAAAGTTGTGCCTATGCCATTCAATCATCCCTCCACTGATCCAAGAAGGTCTTTTGTTTAGCAAAGCAGCAACTACGATTTCAGCGGCTTCTTCAGATTTGCTTGGAACTCCATTGCTGGATAAAAGTGGTAAATGTGAAATATTAACGTGCAAAATTTAAAGTGATGTTAAACCTTCAGTTTGTTAGGCACTTTCAGCAGATGATGTAATCACTTACTGAGTTTTCAGCTTTTTTAACATTTAATTTTTGCCTTTGTTTCTGGTTAAGCTGGTGCAATGACAAATGCCCCAGGTTTCCTGTTCAGGGTGGCTGCTTTCTCTTGAAGCTTCCTGTGGAGTCACTCTCGCATGCAGAGACCATAGCTGGGTATCCCTACACTTTTTGCATCAAAAGAAGCACACAGCCCTGTAGCTTAGGATAGCAAAGCACTCCCTTACTCTTCCTTTTTCCAAGCTAGCAGACTGCACACTGTTATCTTTTTTTATGTAAAGGCTGGTAGTTCAGGGAAGAAGCACTGAGAGCCAGCAGCACTGAAAGTTATAAACTGCAAGTGTTTGGAAATTAATTTTAACAAATAGAAGGTTTTATACTATCTGAAAAAAAAGAAATATATTTTATAATTTCAACAGCAACAATCAAGCATATACATATAGTTTTATCTTTAATCAACAGAAAGTTGGTATGGAATAAATAACTTAATAATTAAATAATAAATAAGCCTTCTACCTTCTTTGCTCCCAGAGCCAAAGCCTTCTTCCGGGCTTCCTCAAAATCTTCATTCTGGCCAATGTTTGCCTATTCAAGATACAAAACAGGGGAATTATTCACCCACACTGAGCGTTAACTCACATATTTATTATCAATATTACACTATAAACAGTAAGTGGCATTGTTACAAAGTATTATTCATTAATTTTATAATTAAATGGTTAAAAGTGTCAAGTGTATAATTTACATTAACTACATACACGTACAGTACAGTAAAAGTGGCTTTTAAGTGGCTGTCTACAAAGTGTATGCAAACCCTGATATTAAATTTCTTTTCGTGGCAAAAAGTTTCGTAGTCTAGCTTGTGTTTTTATTTTTTTTTTTAGGTTTTTTTGCAATGTCTAAAACAAAAGTGAACAAAAACACTTCAACCCAACCCCTCATTTCAGCAGGAAAGGTAAGGCAGTTTTTTTTTCTTGAAATAAAAATGACAGTGCCATATTGCACAGACAATAGCCACATATTAAGGTGGCAGTAAATTGTGCAAGCAACTTGTTTGGGCTGCAAGGTAAGAGTGAGAAACAAGGCAGTTTTTACCATGAAACAAAAATTAGAGTGTATTATTTCAAAGACAGCAGCCAGAAATATTCCAACTCACTGCACATGACATGACATAAGTAGTTTTTCTAGGCTGCAATCGAATAGGGAGAGATGGGGCAGGTTTTATCATGCAATTGTATAGACTCTATGTATACCATATCAACCTTTTTACTAGGCTGCAATTTCAGAAGGAGAGACAGGGCAGAGTGTATTACTTCAGAGGCAACAGCTCAAGTAATTGTACAGACACCATAGACAGTACTGAAACAGACATAGTAAGTTGCATTTTGAAAAAGACACACAGAATGTAGCTTTACATCTCAAAAATCCACAATACAGACGGCATTGCAGCAATTGAAGTAGGATGGTTTTTTGATTGTATTTTTTATTATATTTATTTTTCATTACACTAAAATACAATTCCAAAAGGTAAGATATGTAAATGGAACAGACATAGAGGAAGGCTCACAATAAACCAGTGCATATATTTAGGAGTAACAGCATACTCAATGTTTAAATGCAGCCAGCTTTCATGTAAAAAAAAAAAAAAAAAAAAAAAAGAAAAAGCGATCTGGGGGCAGCTTCTCCCTGTCACGGCTGTAGAGGTAGAGAGAGGTAGAGAGGTAGAGAGAGAGAGAGAGGAGAGAGAGAGGTAGAGAGTAGAGAGAGAGAGAGAGGTAGAGAGAGAGAGAGAGGTAGAGAGAGAGAGAGAGAGTAGAGAGAGAGAGAGAGAGAGGTAGAGAGAAGAGGGGAGGAGAGAGAGGAGAGAGAGAGGAGAGAGGAGAGAGTGTGTGCGCTGCAAGGGGGACCTCACAGTCACCCCAAATCTAAAGCTCATATCTACTGATCAGCTGTTTTATTATGAATATAAAATAAATAAGAATAAAAGGTTGAGAGAACAGAAAGATTATTTAGGACACAATCAATGTAATGTATGGTACGGTATGATATGGTATTATATATACCCTTTCCTCTACTGTGGCTTTGTAGCAACATGCACTGCCAGGATCCCAAAGACAACCAAAAGGGAATACAAGGTAAGTACATGCTTATTGAAAAAACATTCCCTGATTTGAAGCTGGCAGCCTGCTGTTTGTATAACAAAAAGCATCACAATGCGTGCTCTGCCCTTCTCTACCCTTAAGGCTAAAGGAAATGACCAGCGGAAATTAGTCTGCCTTTTGTGGAGAGGAATATGAAAGCGAATGGCATATAGACTTTTAGTTCAATTAAACTTCAGCCTCACTAAAAAAAAAAAAAAAAAAAAAATGATAGCACACATATTAGATTGTAAGCTCTGACGAGCAAGGCCTTCTGATTCTTCTTGTATTGAATTGTATTGTAACTATACGGTCTACCACCAATGTTGGCACTATATAAATCCTGTATAATAATAACAAATATTACTACAGAAGCCATTTCATAATTTGAAATTAAAGGCTTCCATTTAAAAAATGCAAGTGAGATGTACTGTAATCTCTTAAACTATATTCACAGCAAGATATTGGACGTTACAAATGTACATTATATTGCAGAGTTTATGTGTGCTGGCATGTATTCTGAAGGACAACCCAGTGCATATATATTGTAAACCACTCCTGCCTTTCAGCGCATCATAAATATGCATAAGGTGTGCTGTGTTACCCAAAAGAAATACATTGGGTTTTGAAGCTCGATAAGGACCCATTCAAAAAAGGTATGAATAGGCCCCTTGGGTTCATCTGCTTCTAACTTGATGCAGACAATGCAGCTTTTCTCTTTACAAAATTGACATTGCCCAGGTGGTTACCATGAAGGATGACCCTCTAATTTAGAAATCAATTTGGGAAAGGATAGGCTAAAAAAAAATTTTTTTTTTTATCTTTGAATGTGTATAGTTTACTCTTGTTAAAAAAAAAAAAAAAAAAAAAATTACAATTTTACAATAAAAAAAAATGCATTGGGGCTGATGTACTAATAGCAAATAGGCTGTGCATGCTGCAAGGGAATTTGCTACAGAGCTTAGTAAATGAGGGGAAGCTCCGCTGACTTCCATCATCCAATCATTTTTTTATTTTCCTAGCATGTGATTGGACGCTCTTTGCAAAGTGAGGCTTCACTTCATTTCTAAGCTCTGGAGCAAATTCTCTTGCTGTGTGCAACTATACTTGCAAAGTGCACAACCTATTTGTCTTTAGTAAATCAACCCTATTGCTTCTACTGATCTATTCCAATAATATACTATGACCCCAAAAACCAATGTCACTTTTGGAAATCAAGAGCCAGCCGCAGATGGATCAACTGTCTGCCGGATCAGCAGGGACCAGCCAAGATTTGATTCATCTATGGGCAGGCTGATTGTACCCAAGTTGATCTATTGATCGACTTTGGTACAACCAGCCTGTCAGATTTTTAGCTTGCAATTACTACCTACGGCTGTATAATGACAGTGTTGATGGGGGAATCGAATGATTTTCTTCCTTTCCTTAACCCTTATCCACATTCAAACCATGAAACACAAAAGAAAGTGTAAAAATATCTAGCAGTCTCTTTAGTCTATAATCCTTACAATGCGATCTTTGCCCTCATGTGTTTGGTTTAAATAGTCAGCAAACAAGATCTTATCAGATATATGTGCACGCAAAGTAATATGTCAGTGTGACACTTCCAGATAGCTTTTACCTATCTTAGGAGTACAACCCATGGAAATGCCTTTATCTGCTTTTCCCTCTAGATGGACAGCACCATCTTTGTCTATGCATTATCCAGTGCTACCATCTACTTCCCAGACTGAGATGCTGGCCCAGATAATACACAATTGTGTAAATCCTGGTGCCTGTGCAGTTCTTGGTGTTCACAAGTGGTTGACATAGTTTAGCCCCCAGCTACAACCTCTAACCTTTCAACAAAAAGGTACACTGTTGCAGTCTGACCACTGGAGGAGAGGAAAAGTGTGGAAATGCTTCCTCCTACCTGCAGCAGACAAATTACATAATCTCTGCCTGGGCAAAGTCACATGACTGGAGCTCAAGAGTGGCTTTTTAATTATAAAAAGGTGCAGCTTTTTAAGAAAAAAATTTTTTTTTTAAAACTAGTGGTTCCATCCATAGAAGAGAATGGGAAGGGTCTGCCCCACTTATGCAATGGACCAACTGTCCATTTACATCCACCACTCCATAGAGGAGAATGGAGGGTGCGATCAGACCCTCCATTCTCCTCTATGGAGTGGTGGATGTAAACAGACAGCTGGTCTATTGCATAAGCAGAGCAGACAAGGACTGATCATCCGCCTGCTCAGCAGGGAATCAGCAGACAGATCCACTGTGGAGCAACATTAAAATGAATTCCGCCCCATTTTCAAGGGGCCTAAAGGTACATTCACATACATTCACTGCTCCTACAGTGTTGGCATCCTCTCCTCTACTGGATGTCAATCTTTGGCTCTCTTGACTGGCCGGTGTGCGATGACAAATCTCCTACGCATGCGTGAGAGTCAGGGGCGGACTGACCATTTGGAAACTCGGGCACTGCCCAAGGGCCGAGGGTCAGTAAGGGACCCCATGAGATGCCTCTGGTACCTTTTTCATAGGCTTTTTTGAGTTTGGGCAAGGATACAGGGGCCCCATGATCCCTATTGCCCGGGGGCCCCATGAGTTGTCAGTCTGCCCTTGGTGAGAGTCATTCATTCTGGCACACTTGCTCTGTGTCAGAATACCAAATAGCACTGCACAGCTCTGAGTAAATTCTGCAGAGGATTGCAAATAGGTAGGTAAGTTTATTGCAGAAGACACATTGCATATCTCCTCTGTAATAAAGGTCCTGCTTGTTCACAATTTATTAATTTTTTCCTTTTTTTCCCCACTTTCAGTAGTGTAGTAGGGAGAAGGATGACAACCTTGAAGCCTGCAAAAGCATCTCAGCAACAGAATGTCTTTGTCAGCATTGATGCGATTACTTTATGTCCATTTCAATACTAACAAAAATACGTTTGGATAAAAAAAAAAAAAAAATACAATTTAACATCATAAATCATAGCTCTCCATCTTGACAGGTTCCCTTTATCTTTCCAAGATAAGAGTTCCAGTGTTGCTCCTGTTATCATATGGAGACTGGATGAATTGTGAACAAAAAAGTGACATTTTATCTGCTCCCGCCATCAGAAGTTTTGCAGAATGGCATTTTCTGGTTGGTAGAATTTCATCCAGGGCCACAATAACCTGCATGTAGAATGTGTACACTGGGACTCCCTGACCTATATACTGTGCACACAGTGCTGGAGATAACAGATGAGTAGAAAGTAGAATCCTTAAACACGGACCGTCTAGATCAGGGGTAGGCAGTCTTAAAGAGGTGGAGATCTAACTGAACAACATGAGAGAAGTCAATGTGCAGTGTCGCCTCCTCACACCCGTTTTAAACTTCTAATTGCTGTACTACCGTGTGACAATTGTGTGCATTGCACAGCAATCATGGGTTTTTAAATTAGGTGGAGGAGGCAACATATTGTG